TCATGTCTTGGAATTTATTTGGAATGGAAGAACTTCATGAGACTTTCAGAAGGAATATGTGATAATTTCTTGCATTGTACTATGAAAGGCTGGTATCATTTTGCAAACTGATCATATTATATGAACAATGGACATGGAGCTCAACACTTACCTAAGGAACAGAAGTGAAAACAATGTGAATATCAGATAACTCAGAGAATGTTACCTACTGGAGTTTGATCACAACTCTATAAAAAGAGACTGCTAGCTAATATTGAAAACAGATGGTTCAATCATTATATTTTAGCACCTTCTTTGGAATGACTTAATATTGTTCTTGGAAAAGGTTTCTCATCCGACTTTTCCAGTCTGTAAAGGATCCAGTGGGTAAATAATAAAAGACATAAGTTTTAATAATTCTTTGTGTTTCCAATATTTCTATTTGTACATGAGTTTCCATTTATGCAAGACCTGGCCTGCTCAGAGCACTTTAATACTTGGATGATGGAAATACCATCAGAAGCCTAGTTCTCATCCAAAAAATCCAAACAGAAGTATGGAGATATTATTTGGGTTCCTTGAGAGTACACAGCCCAAATTCTTTACTGGTATAAATCAATGCCACTCCGGTGTAGTAGTGCCAATTTATACCAGCAGAGAGTGTGTCCGAAATGCATTGCCATAATAAACAGGAACAAAGGGACAAGGGGAAACCTGAGATCCTGTCTAGACCAGGCTTTAATTCAGTGCCCCCATATCACCAAGGTATCTAGGCACATGCCTGGCATTAAGCACATGTATATTCCCATTGACTTCAGTAGGACTACTGACATGTTTAAGGTGGGACGCATGTATAAGTATCTTGTTGAATCAGACCTCAGAAAGAATGTATGCTCAAAAGCCCTGGGGCAACCTTAAATAACATGAGGTAAAACATAATAAAGCGAATGCTGAAAACAGAAACATTTTTTGTTATTGTGAAAACCTGGAGATGGGCCCAAGGCATAAAGATTAGATCTGGATTCAAACTCCACCCAGATTTGAAGGGTTCTGCTCCAATGCTCTGAAAAAATAAATCTGCATTGTTATCAATGCTTTTTCCAGAAACAGAAGCTAAAACAGCAGTGTAGACAGTTGTAAAACCAGGATTGCTTCAGGACTCATTGCTGACACTGGTTGATGGATGACTGTAGAAGAAATAGACAAGTCTTTCCAATCAGTTTCTAACAAAGATTATAGCAAAAGCAGCAAAACTAAAAAGGAGGAGGGAAAAGGGTTTAATGTTTTGGGCCAGATCAATCTACAGTACAAAACCTACTATCTAAGGTCTCTTTTTGCGAATATTTATATCATGCAGCCACTCTAGGCATTACCTTCATTTTTGAAGTACATCGTTTCTCCATATCTATTGTGAATATAATAGTAATATTAATTCAATACGCATGAATAATTCCTCCCTTTATAGTTGTGGTGAAAACTACTGTATGTAGGTTTCTGGGCTATGGATCCATTCATCCTGAAGCATTTTATATAATCACATTACTAACTACTGAAATGCAGTCACGTTTTTGGTAGAATATGGCAGCTAATTAACACCACCCAGCAACAAAAGACAAAGTTTAGGTGGGGTACTATATCCAAGTGGTATAGACAAGTGTCATATCCTGCTCTTCAAACAGGAATTATTTTGGGGAAGACCCATGGCCTGTATTACGCAGGAGGTCAGACTAGATGATCACAATGGTCTCTCCTAGTCTTAGAATCTAAGACTATGAATCTTATCCTCTGGTTTAGAGATTTACTCAGTATAATGAGTGGGGCTGGTGGAAATGTGGTTTTCAATTAAAGGATTTTTTTTGTGAAAAGTGTCTGCTTTCTGTGGAACATTTTAATTTGTTTAATTAAAAAATCCTGCATTTCAGCTGAAATCTATTTTTGTATTAAAATTTTCACCAAAAAATATCAATTTTCTGCGGAAGAATTTTTCCAACCAGCTCTACTAATGAGTCCTGTCTACACATTATTTTCAGGTGTGATTAACAACGGTTTTCAATACACCTATGGCTAAAACAAGTTATAAGTAAAACTGACTTAAACAGTGAAATCAATCTCATGGAAAATAATGTATGAGAAAATATTTTGTCCATTTTGCTTCAAACTTTCTGACCATGACTAGTTATAAGTCTTGTGATATTTGGTGTTAAAGCCCCAGCTTCTGGAATCTTGTGATTACAGTACATGAGACTCTCAGCTTTCCTTTTTTAAAAGTAAATTTCTAGTTCTCATGGTTGTAGAGAAAAGCTTGAAAGTTTGACCCCAAAGACTCAAAAGGCAAAGGAAAAGAAGCCAACATTTATTATTTTTTAAAATCTCATGATGTATTGGAGCCTGACTCATGAGATTTTAATGCTCAGGGATAGTAATACTGAGTCAGTGGCATGTGCATTTTTATACCAGGGCTGAATGTTCCCAAAAAATCTTTGTCTACTTTGGACAGGGAAATCATCTCCATCACTGACCTCATATTTCATTGATACTCTAGATATTTTTTATTGGGTCTGTACAACATTTTAACCTCTTGTGGAAGATTTCTTTCATTCCCCACTGTTGCAGTTTATTTATTTCCATTCCTTATTTAATTCTCCAATCCTTCCAGTCATTTGCTTAGGCTGACATGTGCTTCTTTCTTCCCACTTGCTTAGGGTATGTCTACACTATGAAATTAGGTTGAATTCATAGAAGTTGGTTTTGTAGAAAGCGTTTTTATACAGTCGACTGTGTGTGTCCCCACACAAATGCTCTAAGTGCATGTAGTCGGCGGAGTGTGTCCACAGTACTGAGGCAACTGTCGACTTCCAGAGCGTTGCACTGTGGGTAGCTATCCCACAGTTCCTCCAGTCTCAGCCGCCCATTTGAATTCTGGGTAGAAATCCCAGTCCCTGATGGGGCTAAAACATTGTCGCAGGTGGTTCTGGGTACATATCGTCAGGCCCCCCTTCCCTCCCTCCTTCCATGAAAGCAAGGGCAGGCAATCGTTTTGTGCCTTTTTCCTTGAGTTACCTGTGCAGACGCCATACCACGGCAAGCATGGAGCCCGCTCAGCTAACTGTCACCGTATGTCTCCTGGGTGCTGGCAGACGCGGTACTGCATTGCTACACAGCAGCAGTTTATTGCCTTTTGGCAGCAGACAGTGCAGTATGACTGGTAGCCGTCGTCGACATAGTCCTGGGTGCTCTTTTAACCGACCTCGATGAGGTCAGGGGCGCCTGGACAAACATGGGAGTGACTCAGCCAGGTCATTTCCCTTTTAAGTTTCGTCTCATGGCGATTGAGTCCTACCGGCAGTGCACTGTCTTTTAATCAGCAGCCAGCAGAAGATGATGGCCAGCAGTCATACTGCACCGCCTTCTGCCGAGCACCCAGGAGATGACGATGGCTAGCTGTCGTACTGCACAGTTTGCTGCCAGCAAGATGTATAAAGATAGATGAAGTGGCTCAAAACAAGAAATAGACCAGATTTGTTTTGTATTCATTTTCTCCTCCCTCCCTCCATGAAATCAACGGCCTGCTAAACCAATTTTGACTTCTATCCTTGAGGTTTTGAGTTCTATCCTTGAGGGGGCCATTCTGTTTCTCGCAAAGCCACCCCCTTTGTTGATTTTAATTCCCTGTAAGCCATGTCGTCAGTCGCCCCTCCCTCCATCAGGGCAACAACAGACAATCATTCCGCGCCTTTTTTCTGTGCAGACGCTATACCACGGCAAACATGGAGCCCGCTCAGATCACTTTGGCAATTAGGAGCACATTAAACACCACACGCATTATCCAGCAGTATATGCAGCACCAGAACCTGGCAAAGCGAAACCGGGCGAGTAGGTGACGTCAGCGTGGTGACAAGAGTGATGAGGACATGGACACAGACTTCTCTCAAAGCACGGGCCCTGGCAATGTGGGCATCATGGTGCTAACGGGCAGGTTCATGCAGTGGAACGCCGATTCTGGGCTCAGGAAACAAGCACACACTGGTGGGACCACACAGTGTTGCAGGTCTGGGACGATTCCCAGTGGCTGCAAAACTTTCGCAGGCGTAAGGGCACTTTCATGGAACTTTGTGACTTGCTTTCCCCTGCCCTGAGGCGCAAGAATACCAAGATGAGAGCAGCCCTCACAGTTGAGAAGTGAGTGGCAATAGCCCTGTGGAAGCTTGCAACGTCAGACAGCTACCGGTCAGTCGGGAATCAATTTGGAGTGGGCAAATCTACTGTGGGGGCTGCTGTGATGCAAGTAGCCAACGCAATCAAAGATCTGCTGATATCAAGGGTAGTGACCCTAGGAAATGTGCAGGTCATAGTGGATGACTTTGCTGCAATGGGATTCCCTAACTGTGGTGGGGCCATAGACAGAACCCATATCCCTATCTTGGCACCGGAGCACCAAGCCGGCAAGTACATAAACCGCAAGGGGTACTTTTCAATAGTGCTGCAAGCACTGGTAGATCACAAGGGACATTTCACCAACATCAACGTGGGATGGCTGAGAAAGGTACATGATACTCGCATCTTCAGGAACTCTGGTCTGTTTCAAAAGCTGCAGGAAGGGACTTTATTCCCAGACCAGAAAATAACCATTGGGGATGTTGAAATGCCTATAGTTATCCTTGGGGACCCAGCCTACCCCTTAACGCCATGGCTCATGAAGCCATACACAGGCAGCCTGGACAGTAGTCAGGAGCTGTTCAACTACAGGCTGAGCAAGTGCAGAATGGTGGTAGTGCATTTGGGCATTTGTACGTTTAAAAGCACGCTGGCGCAGTTTACTGACTCGGTTATACCTCAGCGAAACCAATATTCCCACTATTACTGCTTGCTGTGCACTCCACAATATCTGTGAGAGTAACGGGGAGACATTTATGGCTAACCACCCTCCCCTTCTCCCTTCGATCACCGCTTGCAGAGGCAATAAAGTCATTGCTGCTTCACATTCATGCATTCTTTATTAATTCATCACACAAATAGGGGGATAATTACCAAGGTAGCCCAGGAGGGGTGGTGGAGGAGAGAAGCACCAGGAGTGGTGGAGGAGGGAAGGACAAGGCCACACAGCACTTTAAAAGTTTAAAAGTTTAAAACTTATTGAATGCCAGCCTTCTGTTGCTTGGGCAATCCTCTGGGGTGGAGTGGCTGGGTGGCCAGAGGCCCCCGCAATGCATTCTTGGGCGTCTGGGTGAGGAGGCTATGGAACTTGGGGAGAAGGGCGGTTGGTTACACGCGGGCTGTAGTGGTGGTCTGTGCTCCTGCTGCCTTTCCTGCAGCTCAACCATACGCTGGGGCATATTAGTTTGATCCTCCAGCAGCCTCAGCATTGAATCCTGCCTCCTCTCATCACGCTACCGCCACCTTTCAGCTTCAGCCCTCTCTTCAGCCCGCCACTTACTCTCTTCAGCCCTCCACCTCTCCTCCCAGTCATTTTGTGCTTTCCTGCACTCTGACATTGTCTGCCTCCACTCATTCGTCTGTGCTATGTCAGTGAGGCAGGACAGCATGAGCTCAGAGAACATTTCATCGCGAGTGCATTTTTTTCGCCTTCTAATCTTCGCTAGCCTCTGGGAAGAAGAAGATCCTGTGATCCTTGAAACACATGCAGCTGGTGGAGAAAAAAAAAGGGACAGTGGTATTTAAAAAGACACATTTTATAGAACAGTGGGTACACTCTGTCACAGTAAACCTTGCTGTTAACATTACATACATAGCACATGTGCTTTCATTCCAAGGTCGCATTTTGCCTCCCCCCAGCGCATGGCTAGCTCCTCCCCCCTCCCCATGGCTAACAGTGGGGAACATTTCTGTTCAGCCACAGGCAAACAGCCCAGCAGGAACGGGCACCTCTGAATGTCCCCTTAAGAAAAGCACCCTATTTCAACCAGGTGACTATGAATGATATCACTCTCCTGAGGATAACACAGAGAGATAAAGAACAGATGTTGTTTGAACGCCAGCAAACATACACTGCAATGCTTTGTTCTACAATGATTCCCAAGTACGTGCTACTGGCCTGGAGTGGTAAAGCGTCCTACCATGGTGGATGGAATAAGGCTGCCCTCCCCAGAAACCTTTTGCAAAGGCTTTGGGAGTACATCCAGGAGAGCTGCGAATGCCAGGGCAAATTAATCATTAAACATGCTTGCTTTTAAACCATGTATAGTATTTTAAAAGGTACACTCACCAAAGGTCCCTTCTCCACCTGGCAGATCCGAGAGGCAGCCTGGGGTGGGTTTGGGGGGTAATGGCTCCAGGTCCAGGGTGAGAAACAGTTCCTGGCTGTTGGGAAAATCGGTTTCTCCGCTTGCTTGCTGTGAGCTATCTACAACCTCCTCCTCATCATCTTCCTCGTCCCCAAAACCTGCTTCCGTGTTGCCTCCATCTCCATTGAAGGAGTCAAACAACACAGCTGGGGTAGTGGTGGCTGAACCCCCTAAAATGGCATGCAGCTCATCATAGAAGCGGCATGTTTTGGGCTCTGACCCGGAGCGTCCGTTCGCCTCTCTGGTTTTCTGGTAGGCTTGCCTCAGCTCCTTAAGTTTCATGTGGCACTGCTTCGGGTCCCTGTTATGGCCTCTGTCCTTCATGCCCTGGGAGATTTTGACAAATGTTTTGGCATTTCGAAAACTGGAACATAGTTCTGATGGCACGGATTCCTCTCCCCACTCAGCGATCAGATCCCGTACCTCCCGTTCGGTCCATGCCGGAGCTCTTTTGCGATTCTGGGACTCCCTCATGGTCACCTCTGCTGATGAGCTCTGCATGGTCACCTCTGCTAATGAGCTCTGCATGGTCACCTGCAGCTTGCCATGCTGGCCAAACAGGAAATTGAAATTCAAAAGTTCGTGGGCCTTTTTCTGTCTACCTGGCCAGTGCATCTGAGTTGAGAGTGCTGTCTAGAGCGGTCACAATGGAGCATTCTGGGATAGCTCCCAGAGGCCAATACCGTCTAATTGTGTCCATAGTACCCCAAATTCAACCCAGCAAGGCCGATTTCAGCGCTAATCCCCTTGTCGGGGGTGGAGTAAGGAAATCGATTTTAAGAGCCCTTTAAGTCGAAAAAAGAGCTTCGTCGTGTGGACGGGTGCAGGGTTAAATCGATTTAACGCTGCTAAATTTGACCTCAACTCCTAGTGTAGACCAGGGCTTATACATTCATCTTGACCTTGTTTTGATTTCTATTGTATTTATTGCCAAATGACACACACATAATGCTTAGGAAATGCATTACTTTACGTCTATACATTTTCAATTTCCTTTCTGTGACCTTTCTCTTCATTGTTTTAGCACATTTAAGTTCACACAAACCTTCCTTTTCTTTAAAAAAAAGAAAAGTATGCGGCTGAAGTTCTATGTTCCTGCATTGATTTCCTGTATTTTAGTTTTATTTAACTCTTAGAATCTGGATGTCCTATGGAATTAATAATGCAGTAGGATGCCTTTCACATCTAGGTCTTCTGAATCTGGCCTCATTTGGTAGTGATCAAACCCATAATGTCAGTGGCATTATTTAAAACCTAAATCCTACAATATGATGGCTGTCTGTGGCTGTTCGGTGTATGATGTAATGAGGTTGTCTTGGTCATGTTCCCAGTGGGCAGGTCTCCATATCACAGAAACCACCAGCGTCATTGGCACTATATCACTCCCTAGGTAGCAGCCTCAGCAGGGATGCCAAGGACTGAATGTGTATGGAGACTAGATCACTGCTGAGACATGTTGGCAGGCTGGTGTGGGGAAACTTGTGCTGGGACTGTCCACACTGCACCTGTTCAGTAGATAAATAAAGGGCTTTAGTCTCTGGAGCTGGTGATCCAGCACTTTCTGCAAGCAGTAAAATAAACAAATAAACCAAACAAAAACTGTCGCTGATATCATCCCTAGGATTTTATATTCCATCCATAATGTGAGATAAGTAATAACCCTTTTCACATGTAAGAACAGATGTGAGCTGATTGTTTAACATTGCTACGGCTTTGTTATGCTTCAGTCTATGAAATGCCAACCTTGTTGAAAAGCCAATTTTATACAACTTATCTATAGCAGGTTGTACGCTTGCCAAGATATTGGAAACATTCACAGTGTGCTGCCCCTTTGTGCATAACAAGCTTCCCATATGTTGCAAAACACATCAGCAGTTCTGATTTTTGCATGTGTCCCAGCTGCATGCTAACCAGAATGGCTAGTCTGCCTCCTTTTGTGAAGGAGAGACAAGACAGCAGCCTTAGCTGCCAGAATAAAGGAAATCTATGGAAAATGTGCCTAATTATACATTTCCACATGTCTGAAGACCTTCCAGAGGCCTTCTGTATGGATGGGAAACTTTCAAGAAGGCTTTCCAGGAACTTTGTAGGTAGGGTATTTTGTACAGATATATTTTGCTAGATACTGTTTATAAAATAAAGACCTTTTTTACTGTTATAGATGGTGCCTCAGATGCACAGTTGTACCTGGTGTAGTCGCCCGGATTTTGCAATAAAGAAGAGGCAGACACTGCTGACTACTCGCTCTTAGTCAGACTCCAACATAATCTACGTGGTAGCCTCCTTGCAGGACAGGGTGTGTGTGTGATACACTCACATTCACACACTACAGACCCCTTGGGCCAAACTCTGTTCTCAGTTACACTTGTGGAACTTGATTTCCATGGAGCTGCATGCATGTAAGTGAAAGCAAATTTGGCCTCATACCTGAGAAGAAGCAGTTTACAGAGGCTTCTGTCTGGATATCTGTAGCCCTCTGAAAAATACAGGCAACAGTACGTGGGGTTTTCTTCTGAGAATAATCTCCACTAGTCACAGGAAGTGTTTCCCCTCATTGCCTAATCCACAGAGGATATGAGCCTATCACAGCCCCAAGTTATAGCAACCTACACTCTTACTCCTAGACGTCCATGCTCCAATCCCCAGTGTGGGCCATGATGACAGCCACACATAGGTAACACACCTGATGTCTGTTTCTTTAAATTTGCTTTGCCTTTGGATTTTTGTAAGCTTCTCCCTCAGCAGTTCCTCTGACTCTTCAAAATGACTGCCTCTGAATTTTGATTTAGTTGTTTGCTATAATCTGTTTAAATTCAGCTCATTTAATTTCTTTCCCAATGTCTTTCTTTGCCATTCAGGCTCAACCTCTGAATTCTCCATCTGGTACCTCAGGAGCTGTTTCTGCCTCACCAAGAGTTTGATTACCAAACCCTTTGAACTTGATTCTGGATTTGACAGCCAGAGACAGGCTGGAGGGGATACATCAGAGCTGCAATGGAGAGGAAAGGAGTACTTGTGGCACCTTAGAGACTAACCAATTTATTTGAGCATAAGCTTTCGTGAGCTACAGCTCACTTCATCGGATGCATACTGTAAATGAAGTGAGCTGTAGCTCACGAAAGCTTATGCTCAAATAAATTGGTTAGTCTCTAAGGTGCCACAAATACTCCTTTTCTTTTTGCGAATACAGACTAACACGGCTGTTACTCTGAAACCTGCAATGGAGAGGGAGATCCTAGGGAGAATTCTGTCTCAGAAAGAATTCCTCTAGAGCAGTGTAGGGGCAAGGTTGCTGAAGATTGGCGAGGAGCTAAGTGGTGGACTGAGTATGTGACTGGAGGTAAGCGGAGGATGCAGGCAGTTTCAATGAACTTTGTCCGACAGACCCTGCCAAAAGACATTGTAGCATAGCTCAGCATATTTTTGCCTGTAAACAAGTCAGTTTATGTAATAAGCATAAATCGTACATATAAGAATGTAGCCAGCTGTTGACCCCATGTAACCCCGAGATAAGCGCGAAGAATATAGCACTGCAGAGGACTCCCCCCAGGTGGAGTCCTGCCTGGTCAGCTGTCCCGAATGGCCAGAGTCCCCTGCAGCCCCTCCGCGCGTCCTAGGGGCTCCCCGCACAGATTGGAGCATAAGTTCTTCTTTCCTTCAATAAAGCAGAGTTTACTATTCTTAGGCCTGAGTGTCCTCCTTTTGCTGGTATCTCCCCCGCAGCCCTTGCGGGCACAAGCAGTAAAAAGAAAAGGAGTACTTATGGCACCTTAGAGACTAACAAATTTATTTGAGCATAAGCTTTTGTGAGCTACAGCTCACTTCATCGGATGCATGCAGTGGAAAATACAGTGGAGAGATTTTATATACACAGAGAACATGAAAAAATGGGTGTTACCATACATACTGTAAAGAGAATGATCAGGTAAGGTGAGCTATTACCAGCAGGAGAGAAAAAAAAGCTTTTGTAGTGATAATCAAGGTGGGCCATTTCCAGCAGTTGACAAGAATGTGTGAGGAACAGTGGGAAGGCAGGGGGGAGGGTGGAATAAACATGGGGAAATAGTTTTACTTTGTGTAATGACACATCCACTCCCAGCCTTTAGTCAAGCCTAATGTAATGGTGTCCAGTTTGCAAATTAATTCCAATTCAACAGTCTCTCGTTGGAGTTTGTTTTTGAAGCTTTTTTGTTGAAGAATTGCAACTTTTAGGTCTGTAATCGAGTAACCAGAGAAACTGACGTGTTCTCTGACTGGTTTTTGAATGTTATAATTCTTGACGTCTGATTTGTGTCCATTTATTCTTTTACGCAGAGACTTTCCGGTTTGGCCAATGTACATGGCAGAGGGGCATTGCTGGCACATGATGGCATATATCACATTGGTAGATGTGCAGGTGAACAAGCCTCTGATAGTGTGGCTGATGTGATTAGGCTCTATGATGATGTCCCCTGAATAGATATGTGGACACAGCTGGCAACGGGCTTTGTTGCTAGGATAGGTTCCTGGGTTAGTGTTTTTGTTGTGTGGTATGTGGTTGCTGGTGAGTATTTGTTTCACCTTGTCTGTAAGCAAGGACTGGCCTGTCTGTCAAGATCTGTGAGAGTGATGGGTCATCCTTCAGGATAGGTTGTAGATCCTTGATGATGCGCTGGAGAGGTTTTAGTTGGGGGCTGAAGGTGACGGCAAGTGGCGTTCTGTTATTTTCTTTGTTGGGCCTGTCCTGTAGTAGGTGACTTCTGGGTACTCTTCTGGCTCTGTCAATCTGTTTCTTCACTTCAGCAGGTGGGTGTTGTAGTTGTAAGAATGCTTGATAGAGATCTTGTAGGTGTTTGGTAGGGTATTTGGAGCTAGGATTAGTGTTGCTGTGGGTAGGGCTCCCCGCCCTAGAGCTAAGGTTCCTAGAGCAGTACATTCTGCTGTCTGGCATTTCTGCACTCTTACAATTGGTGCACTGTGCATGCCTCCCCACCAACACACACACTAACTGGTGTAGAAAGGAGGCAGTAATATAGCCCTAGCTTCATTATTCCCCCCATTCAGTTAACACATGGAAGCATTAGCAAGAAGCAATTCCTGCTCTCCCCAACAGCACTGTGCTGAGCACAAGCAAAGGAGAGTTCTCTTCCTACCCAATACACACACGCACATAGATCCAAGAGCAACTTGGACATTTATGTCACATGTGGCCACATTGTGACCTACAGACCAGTGTAGATTATTGAGTCTCTTCCTATCTGCCTCTCTCTCGTTTCTCAATTCATTGGCCTCCTCTTCTTCATTTATACTGCTTTAAAGGCACATGTTTTGGTAGCCAGCCTTTCAATATCACCTCTTAAGGTGAACAATTGCTAACCTCACGAGGGTTAGAGTTCATATGGGTAGGGCGCCGCACCCTAGAGTTAGGGTTCCTATCGGTACGGTACTTGGAATTGGGGTTAGGGATCCTACAGGTAGGGTATTTGGAGCTAGGATTAGTGTTGCTTTGGGGAGGGCTCCCTGCCCTATGGTAAGCATTCCTATGGGGAGGGTACCTGGAGCTAGGGTTAGGATTCCTATGGGTAGGGCTCCCCGTCCTTGAGCTAAGGTTCCTATGGGGAGGGTACCTGGAGCTAGGGTTAAGGTTCCTATGGGTAGGGTTCCCCAGCCTAGGGTTAGGATTCCTATGGGTGAGACTCCCCACCAGTGTTCCCTTTAATTATTTATGTCCATGTGTGTAATGAATTTTGTTACGTGCACCACTATGGAGGTGATGTGTGGTGGTGGGGGCGACGGGTAAGGAGTGTGGCAATGGGCTCTCGGCTGGGGCAGAGGGTTGGGCTGCAGGCGGGTGAGGGCTCTGGCTGGGGGTGCAGCCTCTGGGGTGGGGTCAGGGATGAGGGGATTGGGGTGCGGGAGAGAGCTCAGGGCTAGAGCAGAGTGTTGGGGTGTGGGGTATGAGGGCTCTGGCTGGGGGTGTGGGCTCTGGGGTGGGGCCAGTGATGTGGGGTTTGGGGTACAGGAGGGGGCTCAGGGCTGGGGAAGAGGTTTGGGGTGCAGGCTCTGGGGTGGGGGTGGGGCTGGGGACGAGGGGTTTGGAGTGCAGGCTGTCCCGGGGCTGCGAGACGACTCCCCACAGCCCTCTCTCGCCACAGCAGCTCAGGGCCAGGTGAGAGGTGCCTCTCCTGGGCCACGGCAGTTCCAGCGGGCCTGAGCTGGGCTGGGGGAGGGGTTGCTCTCCCCAGCAGCTCTGGCGGGGCTGGGCCGGGCTCAGGGAGCATCTCCTTTCCCTGGCAGCTCCAGCGGGCCTGGGCTGGGCGAGGGGCTTCTCTCCCTAGCAGCTCCACCAGAGCCGGGCCAGAGGAGAGACTCCTCTCCACACCTGCGCGGCCCTTGGTAGCCTGCCGTGCAGCCACACAACTTACAGGGAACTTACCTTCCTGCCCTAGGGTTAGGGTTCCTATGGATAGGGGACTTGGGCCTAGGGTTAGGGCTTGTATCGGTAAGGGACTTGGGGCTAGGGCTAGGGATCCCATGGGTAGGGCTCCCTGCTGCAGGGTTAGGGATCCTATGAGTATAGCTCCCCGCCCTAGGGTCAGGGTTCCTATGGGTAGGGCTCCATGCCCTAGCACTAGGGTTTCTATGGGTAGGGTTCCCTGCCCTAGGGTTAGGCTTCAAATAGGTAAGGGACTTGGGGCTAAGGTCAGGGTTCCTATGGGTAGGGCTCCCCGCCCTAAGGTTAGGGTTTCTATGGATAGGATACTTGGAGTCAGGGGTAGAGTTGCAATGGGTAGGGTACTTGGAGCTATGGTTAGTGTTTCTTTGACTAGGGCTCCCCGGACTAGTGTTAGCATTCCAAATTGGGTAATTGGAGGCAGGGTTATGGTTCCGATAGTGAGTTTATTTGGAGCTAGGGTGTGGGTTTCTGTGGGTAGGCTCCTCGTAGCCAGGGTTTGTTTTTTTGTTAGTAGGGTTCCCTGGAAATTGGGTTTGTGGTTTCTCTGGGTAGGGGGGTCTCTGGAGGTAGGTGGCCACAATTTGCAGGAATTCATAAAAAAGTGTTACAAAATACCTTTTTTTTTTTTAAAGTAGCAGGCATGGAGACAAATGTGGGGGAAAAAAGCCATTCTAGTTGTTTGTTTTTTGTTTTTTAAGTTATGTGATCATCTTGGGCGCTCCTTTATGCTAAACAACTTTTTGTTATCTTGTTCATACTAAGGGAAATATTCATTTCAGGGGACTAAGTCCAAGATATTCTGTATCTTGTTTTGTTTTTGTGAGGTCTATGTAAAGAAAGAGCTCTCCAGAAAAGATGCCTTCTCTGTGCAGTTTCATTATAATTCCTGTCAATGTCCAAGTAAGTACGAAATCCCTAGAGTCTACATTTTGGCCTTTATGTCTACCTTCTCTGTTGGCACACCTCTTTTCTGATTTGCTTACTTCTGCAATCTCAAATTCAAACACAACTTCCTATCCTTTTTTCCCCCTATCTTTTTTTGTTCTTTAAAATATTCTCTTCTATTCAGCTACATTGAAAGGTGGGTAGATCTTCAGCTGGCACAAATTGGCATAGGCCCACTGAAGTTCTTGGAGCTGCACTGATTTATTTATACCAACCCTCGTTGTTTATTCTGTCACATATTAGACTTTCATTCCCTCCACCCTCTACTCATACAGTCAATATTTGTAAGGTGATCAGTTTAATTTTTCTTTGCAGATTAGTTCCTTGTAATTTTATTGTACTAAACACTTGGTGGCCCAGACTATAAGTAACCTTAACTTATTTAAAGATAAAACATTATTAGGTCATATATATGACAAGAAAAAGATCCATCAATCAACTGTAGTCTTCATACATTCAAGCTATTCCTTTCTCTAATGCACTCATTTTGTTTGTATAAAGCTTTTACTAGAAAGTTGTCCCCAGTGGACTGACAGGCCTTGTCTTTGAATAAAGCTCCTGAGCCATAAGTATAGTAAAACTAGCAATGCTTTGTCTTGGCGAGGCAGCTGTCCTAAGGAGTTTATCTTACATCCAAAAAGGTCATTTTATCTGATTAAAAAAACTTCTTTTGCCTTGCAGGATCCAAAAACTGGAAGTCAAATATCATCACATAAAACACACTGACTAAGCAGTTGGCTGTAGGAGTAACTGAGATCAATATTTTTTGTTAATCTCTATTGTATAAAACAAAAACAGACACTGAATGACTTGAAAGTAGATAACTGCACACCTAGCTCACTTTTGTAATGATGTACTCCTATCACAGTTAACTGCTTCTTCCTTCCCCCATTTCTTAATATATCTGTCACAATCTCTTGTGTCTTGCCTTAAATTAGATTGTAACTGTTTTGTGGCAAGGACTGTTCCTTACTATATATTTGTACGTAGTCCAGCATAATGAGGCCCTAGCTGTGACTGGGGCCTTTGGGTGCTACTGTAATACATAATATAAAATAATTCCATGTTAACCAATCACTCTTCTTGCGATTGTATTGGAGTTTGCACTCTTATTTGCAACAACAAACCACATTCCAATCACCATATAAGTGATTTTGTAATGTGGATATAGCAAAGTACTTGCAATACAATAGTCGACCTGAATGACTATGATTTGTAAGTATTCTAAATCCATTGTACTGTATTTAATAATACATGTGGAATAAGATTAAAAAGAAAGTTCATTGACTAACACCATAATGGAATGAGTCATAGCATTCTCTCCCAATGATATTTCTCTCAGATTTCTAAAAATATAAATAACAAGCCTCGGGCTGTTATTTATTGTTCTTCCTGCTCATCAAGTTAGTTTACCAGAGGGTGTGTGCCTCATATTGTAGCTTCTCCCCCAAGGAAGTCTACAGGTGCCACAAATTAGTGATAAAAATGGTATTCCTGGATTAGTAATCTCTGTTCATTTTGCCCTAATCAGCAAACCAACATTGTTAAACAACGTTAAGCATGTGCGCAAATCTTCGTAGGAGAAACGGCCCAGTTCAGGCCAACAATTTTTAAATCCTCTTTGAAATTAATCGCAAATGAGGAAATCTTTATCCCTGTTAGTGAAATTTATTAAGCACAACAACAAAGCTGAAAACAAAAGGATTTTACACAGAGACTCAGCTTTGCGCTTCCTGCTTTAGTAATGAACTGGATTCACAACAAAGGCCAGTGTTTTGCATTTTAAAAAGAAAGTGCAGTTGCATTAATTGAATGTAACTTTGTTATATATTAATTGATCTTTTATTCATTTGTTATACACTTTTAAATTACATTTTAAAAGTCTATTTTTTATATATTGTATTTTTGCATTTTTAATACCTTATCCACATTCTTTCTGCATTTTAAGTATTATTTCATTTCGCACGGATTCTCTTTTCATTTTTTAGTATTTCTTTCCAGCCTCCATTTTCTTCATTTCATAGGCCCCAATCCTGCAAATGCTTTACACACAACCTTAATGTTACTCCGGAGTAATCCCACTGAAGTCAATGAGCTAATGAATTCACAGGAAAAAAAAAATCTTAAAAAATGCAGCTGAAGGCGACACCTAACAAATAATTTTATAAAAAGCAATATAATGGAGAAAAAAGAATTCAAAGACTGCAACTGAAGTTTCTTCTTCAGGCCTAAAACACTGAATTCTTTTAAATCCAGTTGCACCGAAGTCACTGCGGCTAGGTTTAAAATAAGTCAATGGGAGTATAGTTAAGTATTTGCATAGCTGATGAAGTGAGCTGTAGCTCACGAAAGCTTATGCTCAAATAAATTGGTTAGTCTTGAAGGTGCCACTAGTACTCCTTTTCTTTTTGCAGGATAGGAGCTGTAGTATTTTTTGTTACAGATTATTTCTTATTGCAGTTTCTCATCCTCGCTCTAATTTTTCAGTCTTTTAAAAAGACTTTTTTTTAATGATGCATTTCTTTGCCTTGCTTACTCTTTGAATAATTCCTCCCCCCCCGTTTTAGCACGAGCTCACTTCCGTTTTTCCTCCACTGTGCCTTTTTTAGCTTGCTCCCCTCCCGTTTCTTAGCACTGTTTATTTTATTTTTTGAATTCCTGTTTGTTTTTGCACTTTTACCTCCTTCCTCACTGTCTCTTTAGTTTAGCCGCTGCTTGGTGGGTGCATTTCCTTCCTCTCTGTATATTACAGGCTACACTAAAGTCTTCTTGCACTTTTTCCAGGAATCTCTCTCTTGACGTGTCTCTCTCTCTCGTTTCTGGTAAGTCCCCACCTCCCCTTTTCCCAGCACCCGTGGAAACGAAGGCTGCTCGCCTCCTGCTTCATTTATTACAGGAGCGAAGGGGAACCACGGCTCCGGTCCGTGCTTTTGCAAGCGCCCTGACTGGCCCCCGCGGAAGCCCCAGTGCCCCGAGCTCGTCGACGGCGGGCCCGGCCCCACGGAATCCCCGGTGCCCCGAGTCAGCTGTTCGCCCCGGCCCAGCTGAGCGCCGTGGAGCCTGCGCAAGGCGGAGACTGAGGCAGGGGAGGGAGAAGATGGCGGAGGCAGAGTAAGTAAGGGAGCTGTGGCGGACACTTGCCCTGGGGCTGGGCACTGGCTTGCAGTGGGAGGGGTAGGTCGGGAGGGGGGCAGAGGCACTCAGCGGGGGGAGGAGAGGGAGATAAGGGCGGGTCCTTCTGGAGGATGCATCTGGGATGGGACAGGGCTGCACCCCTGACTAGGCTGGTGATGTCTCGCTGCTAAAACCTTTCCCCTGGAGAGAGTGACTTCAAATGCCGTGTTCAGCCGGGTGGCTCCGGGGTTCCCTTTTTGGGATCTGTGCAGTGAACTCCCCCCGGCAGGAGTCAGCCCTGTATTATGTGTCAGAAGGTGCCACGTACACATCCAGGCCTGGGTAAGGGTCAAATGCTGCCCTCTGGGCACGCAAGCCCCTTGTTGGCTGCAGGAGGAATTTTATATGCCTGTCCAAGGGCAGAATTTGCCCCAAATGATTAATAACAATGCACTGCTTCATGTCGGTCCTAGTCCCAGTCACTGAGAGTTGTTGCCACCTGACAGCCGACTGTTGGCATAGGCAGGGCCGGATTAACTCTCCTTTGGGCCTGGGGCTATTAGATTTTGTGGGGGCCCCGTATACAAGTCGTTTTCCTAATTTAAAACAAAATGATCACAATTATGGCATCGAGGCTATTAACACTATACTGAACTTGCCTTTTAATTAACATAAAGCCCTTCATGGATACATTTCAGTCTTAAAACATGTAGAATATAATTAAGTTAATTCAAAATAGCCTACTTCTTACCTTAGAACAGGTGTTATATTAGTTTCTTTCTGCGAGGGAGTTTGGGTGCAGGACCGGGCTCCAGGCTGGGGCGGAGTGTTAGGGTGCAGGAGAGGGTGAGGGGTGCAGGGTCTGGGAGGGAGTTTGGGTGCAGGAGGGGATTCTGGCAGGGGGTTGGGGTGCAGGGTCTGGGAGGGAGTTTGGGTGCAGGAGAGGATTCTGGCAGGGGGTTGGGGTGCAGGGTCTGGGAGGGAGTTGGTGCAGGTGGGGATTCTGACCTGGGGTTGGGGTGCAGGGTCTGGGAGGGAGTTTGGGTGCAGGTGGGGATTCTGACCGGGGGCAGGAGGTTGGGGTGCAGGAGAGGGTGTGAGGTGCAGGCTCCGGCCAGGAGGCACTTAGCATAGGTGTCTCCTAGTCGGTGGTGCAGCAGGGCTCAGGCAAGCTGCCTGCCTGCACCGCCCCACACTGCTCACGGAAGCAGCCGTCTCTGTGCGCCCCAGCCCGGAGGGGGACAGCATGTCTCCGTGAGCTGCCTGTGCCCGCAGACACTGCCCTGCAACTCCCGTTGGCCAATGGAAGCTGCAGGGGTGGTGCTGGGGGCAGGGCAGCATCCAGAACTGTCTCTCCTCCCACCCCGACCAGGGGCCACAGAGACATGCCAGCAGCTGTCCGCCTTCGGGAGCAGCATGAGGCCACAGCATGCAGGCAGCCTGCCTGAGCCCTGCTGCACTGGGATCCCCCTTAGCCCAGGGCCCTGGGCTGCAGCCCCTAAAGTACATGAAATGGGCGTACGTGAACTGGGTTTGGTGGTCCTCAGACAACACACATCTTTCTGAAAAATCCACCCTCACAGCAGATGCTCTTGTTGGCAGACTAATGAAGGCCTGAAATCACCTTGCCCTCTGGCTACTCTCTTATCTCTGAACATGTGCCAGAGCCACCGTGGCAGGCTGTAGTGCAGAAACTTGCACTGCTATTGTCTGTCCTGAACCTGTTCTGTTCTATGTTTTTGCTTTCCACGGCTGTCAGGCTGGTACTTCTCATAATCACAGCATTGACTTAAAAAAAAAAAAAACACCTTCAAATTAATCCAAAATGACTCACAGAGTCTTCTTCCAAATGAATGAGACTTGCAAGGCCAGGAATCAGTAAGGGCAGGACAGGGAAAGCTGCAAAGTTATTGGTGTGGTGTCTGAGTGGTTAAGGTGCTTGACTGCAATCCCGAAGGTTGTCATGGGTTCAAGTCTAACTTGATCTCACACTGAAAGGCCACTTCCAGTTCACTCAGCTGCAAAGTGAGTCCCTGATCCATTGGTTTAGGGCAGTCAAATCAGTCTGATGTGATGCTGGCCACATCACTCCCTTGTGTACTGTTGGCTAGGAAACTGACATGCCTTAACTACCTCAGCCTGAGAAGCTATTGGTTTGGGGGAACTTTGACTTGGCTTTGAGGTGAAGTTCCTGGATTTTAATGTCATGAGGGAAACTTAGTCCTCATCTACATTTGAAATCTCTGTCGGTGTCATAATGGTAGCTTTTCATTTCCTGGTTCTCATCACCTGGTGCTAGATTTTTAGTTTAAGAAACTCAGTCTTCTTTTCCACTCCACCATGTTCTGCATAACATCTGTATATTACATAAGAATAGCTTATTTGTGGGATTCACACAAATGAGCCTTATTGATTAGCTCAACTGGTAAACTTGGAGCAGTTTCATGATGCTTTTCCTGTTAGAGACATTGCAGTGACTGGAAAAAAATCTCAGGTGATAATTTAATTATTGTACATGACTCCCAAAGCCTTCATGTGGCACAGTTTCCCCTCACTAAAAAGTTGAAGTGGTGTGCCACAGAAGGGATAAACTGGAGCTGAGCCTGTCTTGTAAAGATGCTAGTTTTGTAGCTTTCCTGCACTGTTACAGCTTTAAATATCCATTTCCAAGAGGTGAAGGCACAGCAATGTTGTAGGGTCAAATTGTAAACTGTAGTGTCATTATTCCGACCTGGATGGAAGCTTTGGATAAAATGTAACTGATTTTGATTAGTGTGTGTGTGTGTGTATATATATATGCATGCACACACCCTTCCCATACCCACAGCTGTAACTTCCCTCAGAAATCTTAATCTCCAAAATTAGTACAGGAAGCACAGTAATAATACATTGCAAAAACATAGGATCTTGGTGCTTTATAAAGGTTGGTCAGTTGTTGTCCCTTATTTATGGGTGGGGAAACTGAGGAACAGAGGTAAGTCGATTTTCCTTAAAATCACACAGCAAATCAATGACAGAGCCAGGAGTAGAACCCAGGAGTCCTGTGTTCTCGTTGCCTGCTCTTAACCAATACTCCATGCTGCTAATTCAAGGCAAAGTGCTCGCTGCTGTAAACATGTTCATACTCTGCATAGATGCCTCTGCACTAGGGAATTCCTTTCCTTTCTCTGAACGGTCAAGGTGACGCTGTGGTAAAAATGTCTGGTCCACAGCAGAGTTTGCATGGTTAATAGAACCACTGCAGCTGCACTGCTGCTGTAAAAAAAGTAATTTCCTACCATGGGCAAGGCCTGTGATTGCTTGATGAATGTTGTCAGTTGTTTCATGAATCATTGTCTGCTGAATTCTTTTAATATTGTGTATGCTGGCGTCATTAAACTCCATCCATGCTACTGCCAATAAGTTTTCTCTGGTAATTAATAATAATAATAACACCAAGCTGTATCTAACATTTTTCAGCAGTAGGTCTCAAAGTACTTTACAAAAGGAGATCAGTATCACGATCCCCATTTTACCGAAGCACAGGTAGGTGAAGTGACTTGCCCAAAATCACCTCACCTGCTAATGGCAGAGCCAAGAATAGAAGCCAGGTCTCCGGAGGCCCAGTCCAGTGTTCTACATAGTAGGCCACACTGCTCCCCAGTGTTGACCCTTCAATCCCATGCTTTTTATTTTACTTATTTAAGCAATGACATATTCTTACTTGGAACTTCCTTGGTTACGCTAGAGGTCCATGGCTTATCCCACTAATCAGATTTGATACTTTTGCTGCTGCTTTTGCTGTCTTCTCGTTTTGTATGGTGCTCATTAACCTTGCCCTGCTCTCCTCTTTTCCCCTCCTTAGGGGCAAGAGTGACATGACGCTGCAGTGGCAGCAGTGAGATAAACTGCCAGCTTCATATTTTTAAAAAAAGTCTCTTTGTTATTTAAGATGTTGCTGCTCCATTCTAGATAACTAAAAATGTAATAGAGATTTATCATCTGCGCCATCATGCCAGAGCTGCATCAGATCTGGTAGTGTTGTGAATTTAGCACTGGTGTAAATGACCGTACAAGATGCAGGAGGACAGAAAAGTAGGCCCTCTGTATCCACAATAATGTCAGCATTTCAGGCTCACAAACCTGGGTCGCACACTTAACTGCTCATGAGTGTAGTTCTGTTGGAGTCATTACGACTGTCCACGTGAGTAAATTGATGCTCAAGCCACAAGATTGAAGTTCTATGTGGATAGGGCTACACTTTTTTTATGTGGCCTCTTTGGTAACCCTCTCAAAAAGTATGGATTTCTACTTAGCTGTAGATCATAAGTATTGAAGACAGTATGGTGTGCATTAGATCCTTTCTGGAGTTGGTTGCTGTGGCTTAACCAGTATTAGTATAGTTAACCTCAGATTTGGTACGTCTGCCACTTGTAATTTCCTCCAAAATTTCTACTCAGTAAAAGTGGATGCCCTGCCGGACACAGTGCTCCTCCACCTTGCCTTTGTGGCTATGCACCTTATGTATCTGCTGATCAAGGAATGGAATGGGGAAACAATTCTATTTCTGTCTCTATCCATGTGGCCATGAGTAAGAGTTATCGAAAGCTGCCACCAGTTGGCAGTTTCAAATTTAAAAACAATGTTTGTTTTCTTTAAAGTTCCAGGTGGCTAAGCTGTCCATGTCCGACATGAATGTGATGTTGAATCCATGTAAAACAGCAGTTTTGATTGACGGTTTTAAGAAAGATGGTTGTTAAGGAAATTCTGGCATTCCTATCTAGAGTGTATAGAGCTGGGCATGTATGGAGTGCTCTGATGCTGATGGGAAGGTGGAGGGTTTTTTTTTTTTTTTACCTCTTTGCACTGTTAGTTTTGTAGCCAAGAATCATTTTTCTTAACATCCTGTTACACAGATTTTAATGAAATCTGTGTTGCCTTCATGAGAATTTCTGTGTAATGGCATTATGTGCCCTTCTAGCTTTCAAAGACTCACCTTCTCTTCTCAATTATTACAAAGGTTGTTGCCTCCACCCTGCAAAATTTTTTCTCAAATTTCATTTCTCCACTGTACACTGTGATCTTTTTACTGGCTTCTTTTGAAGATCAAAGAAGCATGTAACGCCACAGCTGCCTTGAAATGAGATGCCTCATTCTCTTCTGAACTACCTACACTCTGGTACGACTTCACTGTCTTCTTCCCCATCAAAGTCATCACAAACTCAGTTTTTTCTGAAGCAAGCACCTCCTCCTGAGTAGTTTTTATTTCCTGTTCTTGCGCCATATGGTCCCACGTCATCAGCCATGCTGTCCACTCATTCTCGGGTTGGGTTTTTCCCCCCTCCAAAGTATGTAAAGCTGTTGCTAAAACTTAATTTTTAGCAGCATATTCATCAGCTTAACGCATGATTGCAGACAGAACTGCAATAGCATTGTTGCAGATAGAGCTAGTTCTGTTGCGGTTTGCCTTCTTCAGAAGGTAAATTATATTTTCTTCAAATTCAGAAAAGCTTGACTTATTTTTAAATATATTTTTTAACAGGTTAAAAAATGTTTTTGTAAAAATGGTTTTTTTTCCAGCCTTGTCTATTGTTTTCACAGGGTTTGGGGAACGTTTTAAATTGAGAGAGTTAAAATACTGACTGGAAGTGGCTCCTCCCCAATCACACCGGTGGATATCGCCTGGCACGTCATGGCAGAAAGCGATGCAGCACCAACCATACCAAAAAAGTGTGGTCCATACATTTCATCTGTAACCAGTCATGGCATGAACTTGGTGATTCGTGGAATAGTGCTGTTTTTTATTGGTGTACTTCTTGCATTAGTATTAAACTTGCTACAGATTCAGAGAAATGTCACGCTTTTTCCACCAGATGTGATCACGAGCATCTTCTCTTCAGCTTGGTGGGTACCACCTTGTTGTGGCACAGCTGCAGGTAATGTCAGAAGGTGCCAACTGTGTGTGTGTGTGTCTGTGATATGGGGTGGGGGTGGAGGGTTGGTAGTGAGGAAATTAAAAATCCTTCATTAATAGAAAAATGTGGAAGATTTAAAATTTTGGATCTAGTCCTACTGCCTTTCCCATCTATCTGTTTCCTCCTCCTCTGCTCCCAAAAGCTCTTTCTACATTTTACAGAAGTTGTACTGTGAATCATAGAAGTGTAGCACTGGGAAGGACCTTGATAGATCATTTAGTCCAGTCCCCTGCACTGAGGCAGAACTAACTATATTAGCTAGTTTGAGCCGTGCTGTGCTGAATTCTTGAGTCAGAAGATTATGCTTGGTCTTCAGGATTAGGAAAACAGAGTTAGGCAAGCCACAGAAATCCATATGATTGTAACCTTGAGGCTAGATTACTGCCATGCCCTTTGTGGGCAACTCTGGAAAGGAACCTGGAAATCCCAGATTTTGCGGCATGAAGTAGTTTGCCTTGTCTGGTGTAAACTGTGATGAGAGTATGCCATTTTTTGCTGCAGCTTCCTGTTTGCTTCTGAGTGCGGGTCAAGGTGCAGGTTTAGATCTGTAAAGCTCCACGTGGTCTGGAACGCAGCAGTCCCCCTATATCCTAAGGGAGGTGTAGGCATAAGGTGCTGCTTTGCTCTTGTTAGTGGCAGATTGTTAGCAACGGATGTCCTCTGAAATCTGCTCCCTTTAAAAGTCTCACAGAGTCTGGGCTTCAGAACACAGTCAGTGGATCAGTATAACACTTTACTAGTGGATTATTCTGAGCAGCTGGATGGGGGAATTCTATTATAAGCAGACCTTTATTTTAAAGACAGTATCTTCCTTGAGCTTGATTTTAATAAGAGTGAGGATTCCATTTGCCTCTTTGGAGGGTGGTAATACAAATCAGTAAACTTACCTTTGGTCTATTGGGCACTTCTGGCATCAGGGTTTTGCTAAAGGTAATTTTTAAGCTGAGTCTTTTTTCTAATTACCTTTCTTTTGGTATGGTGTTGAATCATTTCACCACAGATTTCATAGAAGAGCCTGATTTGAGAGGAAACTGTCCAAATAGCTGTCTCAGTATGTCAGTTTTGTTCTCTCTGTATTTGGAATATTTTGGTCACAGTTATGTACTTGTCTATTCTGTAAGTTGCTGTCTAACGTAGCTCTTATTCTCTAATCTTGCTGCTATGGTACTCTGTATTTGCTGCATATTTTTTTATGCTTAAATTGGTTGTCTTAACATAGAGCTCATGAGAGGTTTGATTTCCTGATAGGGCAGTTTGATTTGGCCATCTCATAGGAATTTTTCTTTCCTATTTGTAGCGGGGCTCAGCTATCCAACAACATATCTATTATGCCTTTTTACAGTAAGAATGATCTCAAGTGTGTTTTGTAAAAGAGAATACATGGATGTAATTCTGTAAAATTATCTCTTAGTAAGATGGGCCTTTTGTGTCCATGGGGCTTACAAGGGGAGAGGGGAAACAGGCTCTGAAAAGATTTAAAGGGTCAGCGGTATGCTTACTGTTCTCATTTAGTTACACACCGTGCTCCCACATTATTTTCAGTGCACAGTCTACTCCAGTTGTTTCTACCTAAAGGATTTGTTCTGGGGGTTGAAATGACAGTGTCCCATTTGCAATAGTGTCGCTCTCTTAGCAAGCAATTGAGACCATTACATACCTACAAACTCTTTACCAGGCAAGTCTAAGGTTCAGGCTTTGTCACAGTCTTGAGGTGTGACATACCAAAACAGCGTAACATTAAATAGCACTTTCACTTGTTCCTCTCAGCTGGGGTGGCAATTGTCTTTATAGGTGGAACTACGGTATAGTGAGTGTTTTAAGGAAAAGTTTTGACAATGTTTAGAAAATCCCACTTGTAGTTTATTTTCACCCCTTCCTGGTATTATGCACCAGCACAAAGCTGCTGTGGCTGAAGATGCTGCAGGGGAATTTTAAATTATAAACCTATAGCTGTTTTCATTGAATTTTAAGGCAGCCTTTTAATATTAACTTATGTTTTGGGCCTAAACTATCTGAAATGCCTTTATTTTTATTTTTAAATCTTGACAGTGTTTGAAAAATATTTGGTTTTTATGTTCCAGAACCATCTTGGCCTAGATTATCTCTAGTGCAGCTAAATAGTGCAGATGGTTTAATTGTTAATTTTTCTTTCATATTTCCACAGCTGTGATTGGGTTGTTGTATCCCTGCATGGACAGACATCTGGGAGAGCCACATAAATTTAAGAGAGAATGGTCCAGTGTAATGCGATGTGTAGCAGTCTTTGTGGGTATAAATCACGCTAGTGCTGTATCCTTCTATGTGGTAATGAAGTTTTCAGTAACAGATTAGTTTCTGGTGAACCAAAGGTTAAATAACTGCTCACAATTTAACTGTTTCTACACCACGATGTATAAAAGGACATACAGAGTGTAGCTTAGAGTTAAAACAGTTATAGAATGCCAGTAGCTGCACTAGTTCATGAAGGTCATGCATATAAGTTTCTGGAAATACCACTTAAACTGAAATCTCCCACCCTTTTTTAAAAAATATATATTTGTCTCTTTTTTAGAGTTATTCAAGTACATGTGGGAAAAGGAGTTTATGCTCTGAGAAATTTTTAAGGATGCTCTTCTTGCACTTATTGTAAACTCAATACAGTTACAGGTTTAAAGACCAAACTTCACATGTGCAACAGCATCAATGAAGAGTGTGCACTTTGCTAAGCCTGGGGGAAAATTGGTAGGAAAAAAATACTTGGCATTGGTTATTCATGGATCTCAAAGCATTTTACAAAAGTGAATAAGCGTCATTATCCCTATTTTACGGGCGGGGGACTGAGATGCAGATAGGCTAAGTGACTTGCCTTAGAATATGCGGAAAGGAGAGAAGTTACGAGTGAGTCAGTGTGGCATGATGTGAAATATCGTTTCCCTGCTGAAGTCTCAGAAATCCATGTACACCTTTACACTAGACTAATACTATCCATGGATGAAAGAGTCATGATTCCCCGAAGCCCATTGGACAAAAACAGGTCCTCGAAATGGACTGCAATGCCTCACTGGCAACCCATGAGCAGTTGTGCTTTGTGTCATCATGTATAGGGTCCCCCTGTCCAAGTTAAGGCGATTAACTAGTCTCCCAAACCCAGACTCAAAGACAAGTAATTAAAAGGAAAATTAAGAATCTCTAGAAGGCTCATTGTTTCATCTTTAGCATCAGGTCCCAGACTCTGATCTGTAGAGAATTGCTGGTGGTGTGGTGAAAACTCCCTGGCCATGTGTTGCTGGCTCTCTTTCTTGTTTCGAGCTGCAAGAGAACTAGAAGAGAGAGAATGGATGAAATGAGATGCCAAAAGAAGGCATGGAAAATGCGCTGCGTTCCCATTCAAGTGGCCTTACCTTTGGATGGATGGATGTTCTTTTCCCACAATACCCCATCCTATCTAGTGTGGCCAGAGAAGTTGGAGCTATCAAAGCTAGGTTCTGCTAATGTCCCCTTGCGGGCCTCAGTTCTCCCATATTTGACAATGTGTCCATCTGGTCTCATGGATGCCACCAACTTCTGACCATCCCCTGACTGTGGACACATTCAGATTCAGGACCCTAACAAATTCTGACCTGTTTCTTGACAAATGAGTGGTGAACTCCTCATGAGTCAGATTACTTTCAGCAAACACCTGTGCAGTTTATCATCAGCCATTCCACATTTTTAAGGAAGCAAGGCCTCTTCCATAGCTATTATTAGTGTAGCAACTCTACTTTCTTCTAAATGGCTTCCTGAAAATCCTGAGCTTCAGTTCATTTCACTTTCAAATAGCAGCATTAGGATCTTGGACTTTCCCACATTTGATCTGACTTTAATTTGGTCATTGTGTCCTTGTGTCTGCCATTCTCTCTCTGTTACCATGCAGTTTACCCCATTTCTTGTTAGACGACTCCACTAGATCTTTCTCCAGGCTGGTGGATTCCTGTGGTTGAGACCAGGACAACCTTTTTACCTACACATTTGTCACCCCCTAAATCTAAGTTTAGGCGTATGAATAACAGTCTCTCTTTAATGGTACTTTCTTACAGAGATGTTGAGAAAATAAATTAGTTAATATTTGTAAAGTGTTTTGAAGAGGGCAAAGTGCTAGGATTATTAATTTATCATATTTTTTTAAAAATTGATATAACTGATCTTCCACCTTGACTCACATGAGTATTTTGATGGTGCTGTGTATTTATATTTTGCATAGCTGTAGCTTTTTTAAAAGCAAACAAGATTCTGGATAAATGTTTTACTAGATAAAAATACTATTCTAATTTAAAACATGTAATAGTTATTGAAATTAAATAGATATTGTTTTTCCAAATGACCTTATTTCAGTAGGCAGCAACATAAGATATATGGCATTTTGACAATTTAATGCTAGATTTAAGGTTTTAACCTTAGGATATTAAAGGCGCAACAGGTGAGGCTGGAATGTCCTTGGTACTGCTACATCTGAACAGTAATATTTTTACAGTAAATCTGTCAAAAAATCTGGTATTCTGCTTAATTTCTGTCTAGTCTCCCTGTACTTTGAAACACTTGTACAGTTTGTAGCAAAGTCCTGAGACAACACTGTGGGTTTAAAAAATACTGTAAACATAAAATAACATTTTAAGTAAATACTTTTCTTAACACAGATAAAATAATGCTTTTTAATAATAAAAAATATTATTATGGTATTCTTATACCATTTAGTTGTATTAAATGAAGAGAGCCATGTTTATGCAAGAGCTAGGTGTTATTTTTACGTAGGAGGGTGTTATTTTTCAGGTCAAAAATTAGTTAACAAGGTAAATATTATTGATCTTCACCTGAAGTTGGCACTTTAAAACTGATCCTTAACAAATGACCACAGAAAGTGGATTTTGCCAACAACATACAGTTGTCTCTTACACTAGCGGCGCTTTCAATTGGACTATGGTGGACCTTTGATAGATCACGAAGTGGCTTTGGTCTTGGAATAGGAATTGCTTTTCTGGCCACCTTGGTATCACAGCTTCTGGTCTACAATGGGGTTTACCAGTGAGTCTTTATTTTTCCTCTGGTTAAGTGGTATTCATGTTAGATTAGTAAACAAGAACATTGAAGCTAGATCTGACTTAACTTGAGCCCTGAACTTGCTAAAACTTAAACACATGTGTAACTTTACTTTAATTGGACGATTCATGTGAGTGCTTATGTGTGTGTAAGACTGAGATTTTGGTTTGGAGTTGTAAAACTGCTACGTTACCAACAGCAAAACAACCTGGATCAAACAGAGAAAGGATATTAGAATGAATGAATGGATGGGTAGTAAATTTGATATTTGCAGTAAGAAATCAAACTTTCTACTACAAGTGTGTGTATCTTTAGGCTAATCTGTTCCCCTATCCAGATTTCTCAGTATGTCTATCTCTGTGCCTAACTTTAAAAGTATAAGTTTTTTTTTGAAGAAAGGACTGCGTACAGGGTTAAGTTCAATCTTGGCAATAAACAGATAATAATGCAAACTTGTATTCCTTTCTAGATATACATCTCCAGATTTCCTTTATGTTCGTTCCTGGTTACCATGTATATTTTTTGCTGGTGGCATTACTGTGGGGAACATTGGTAGGCAGCTGGCAATGGTAAGTTAGGGTGGGTTTTTTGTTTTTGCTTTTTTTTTGGGTACTGAGCTTGTATTGTCTGGTTTTAAAAAATTCTTTCCTAATAGTTATTCAAATTGCAGATGTGGACTAAGATGGGAGTCCAGAGACAGTGCTTTTCAGTTTGGTCAGCATGTCCCTGCCACCAGCAGAAGTTCTGTCTGCTGCTAAGTGCCCTACATATCCTAAAGGGTTCCCCGTTTCATTGTGTTCACTCCATTCTGTATGCAAACAAGCGTTTGCGGGATCAAGGCCTAAATAAGAACACCATGTGTGAGGGGAAAAAAGCTGCATAAGCTCTAAGTTAATAGCTAATGTACTTAGGTTTTCTTTTGCTATGCAAGGAGGCACAGAATGCCAGCACTCCGTGCATAGATTGTGTACAAAATCCTTACTACAGAACTGTAGTTGGTGAGGGTACTCTGAAAAGCATGGGAGTTTGGGGTCCTGAACTGATCTGGGAGAAAGTGTGGGCAGAGCTGTTGTGTCAGTTGCTATGTAGATCCCTCCCTTTCACAGCTGTCTAACTCAGAACTTAAATTGTATAAATCCTTGTTCTCAAATAATTTTCATTTTCTTTGGTTGTTTTGCAGTATGAATGCAAAGTCATTGCAGAAAAATCTCACCAGGACTGAGGAAAAGTAAAATAAATCTTGTATACAGGAAAATATATGACAAACAACTGTCGGAAGAACATGCTATAAGGAACATTTTGACTATAAAATTGCCAAAATGCAGTTTTCCCCTCTCCCTTGAATGGTACACGTTATTGCAATCTGTGATTGCTGCTTCTGTAAGTCAGTTAGAAACCTTGGTGTCTGATTACTGTGAAGTCACACTCGTATGCAATACATTTGACAATATTTGTTCATAAACAAGATTGGCGAAAAAACAATCGAACCTAGGTTTACCATCTTTTTTTCACGATGTTACAGTGCCAAACAGATCTCTGAGTTACTGTACTGTAGCTGAAAATTGTGCTTCAGTTTTTCTAGGCAATTTGGGGAATTGAAGGTTTTGATAGTTTAGTAAAAGCCAGAGAATTCAGAATTAAGGTTGAAGAGATTGCAACTCATGCTGGTAGCTAATCATAAACATGTCTTCTCCCTGAACAGAATCACAGCCTTGCTACTGATGAATGAAGACACGCATCACCTAAGGCCAGATTCTGACACTACTAGTCATGCTGAGTAATACTTTACTCTACAAGTAGTCTGGCTGAAGTCTGTGGGACTAGTGGGTGGGGGAAGGTTCTATTTTAGGTATGTGTATGGGCCCATTAATGTAATATCTGAGTGTCTCAAACTCTGTAATGTATTTATCCTCACTACCCTCACTGTGAGATAGGGAAGTACTGTAATTCTCATTTTATAGATAGGGAACTGAGGCACAGAGAGGCGAAATTTCTTGCCCATGGTCACACAGGAAATCTGTGCTTGAGCAGGGACTTGATCCCAAGTCTTCCAAGACGGAGGTTATTGCACTAACCACTTCTCCTTCTGTCAATATGTGTGTTGGAATCTGACCTATATTTTGGGGCTTACACCCAGTTTCCCGTTTTGGTTTTGCAATTCCCCCTTGAGATTATAGGGCAAACTCTCCTTGTCTTCAAATAGACACCCCCCGATTGATTTACGTTGATTTCTGCCTGATTATGCCAGCAGTGAATGAGGCCTGGAACATTCCCACCTCTTGTTTTTTGACTTCCATCCCTGTCTTGATGTTGTTTAAACAAGTTCTTTTATTGCATTTTAATTATTATTATTTTTAATCTTCCATGAAAGATTTTTAAAACATGTTACAGTCACGTAAGGAGACTGAAGTTGGTCCAAAGAACAAATACATGTTTAGATAAGTTTTAATAAATAATAATGTCTGTGTATGTATTGTACATGAAGCCTGATATAGGCAATTTTTTTGCAGTCTTGTGTGCTTCTATCTGAAGTCTATAACATATGCAGTGAAATGCCTCCTATAGCATGTAACAACAATAAGAGTCACCAGAAGAAAAAACTTCTGCATGGATGAAGCTTTTAAAATGTGTAAATAAGCAAATGATATTTGGAGATCTCAGTTCAGCAAGCTCCACAGGTTTTCATTGGCTTATTACAGCTCCATGACATTTCAGTGCCTCGTGCACGTTTTCACATATTGGTCACAATTCAGGAAAGCACTTAAGCAGGCTCTTTCCTTTAAGCTATCGTTAAGCATATGCTTAAGTGCACTCCTGTTTAGGGATGTTTCTCCTCCATCAGGGCCATAATAAATAATGCAACCTTGGATGTTACATAAATGAAGGCTGCAATTCCATCTTCAGGTTCTGGCATTTCACAAGGAACCTGCTGATATATTTTAAATGTATTTTTTTCCATAACATTCAGCCTGATCTGCATTCCTTACTCAGGCAAGTGATTTCAGTTGGACTGCCTGATCAGATCCTCAGCATGGTTGTCTTCATAAAAAGTCAATGATTGGCATAAAAGCTGAGATATTGATCATAATTTTTACAATAGCTGTAGGGAAATAATGTGGTACCTCAGATTCCAGGGCTTTAATGGTGACCACTGTGTGGAGGTAAGTAAATTTCTTATTATTTGCTTAGTAATAAGTTCTTCTATCTATTCGTTTACATGCTTATAGAAAACAGGACATGCGTATTCAAATGTACAGCAAAAATCCTTGTGAAAAGTGGTTATTGTTCATTTGTGGCACCCACTTTGCAACATTTGGAAATCACATTAATTTAAAAATGATTGGAATATACTGTTAGCAAACTTCTTTCCAAATTTCAGTTTTGAAACTTTAAGCTGATTGTGCAAAATGCACTTGGGTGGTCTCCTTTATTATAGAGATGTTATTTTTTTAATTCTTACTTGACTAAAATAAATTGCTGCCGGACTAAAACCTTGTATGCCAAATTTTCAAACTGCATTATAATTTTATGGCTGGAATACTCAGAACCTGAAAAAAGAGGTACATAATGGGAATGCTGACACAGCCTTAACTATAGTGGTGTGAACATGCTGCTATTGTATAGTGTGTAATTTATAATATTAGACTGTCTTCAAAGCGTTCCGTATAGAATGAATAAGGTATATTTTAGATACAACTTTATAAGCACTATAAACTCTTCACTAACTATGAGTTGTAAGGTCTATGCTGTTTACTTCTCCTGTTAAAAGCAAAATATGTATTAAATATAATTACAATCTTTTGTGACATGTTTATTTTTTTAAGTAGTAATCATTCATAATTATATTGAACCAGCTCCGCAAGTGTTTCACATGCTAATTTTAGCTGTAGAGCTGGCATGATGGTTTCACAGTCCCCCTGTTTAAAACTACTAGATTAAAAACAGGATTACTAAATAAGGAGTGAGACTTAAATCAACAGTGATTCTAACAAAACTTGGATACTGAACTGCCTTTAAAATTATCACATTTTTAATCTGAAAGCTGATAGGGGAATACCAGGGCTGGATGGGAGAATATATACAAATAACCAATTTTATCTTGAACTGCTTAACAGACAGAAAATAAAGTGGAAAAGAGGTTAATTGTGGGGTCCCAAGAATCCATAACAGGACCTGTATTGTATAATGTATTTATCAGTGGTCTGAACTGGGTGGGGTTAACAGTGAGGTGGCAACGTTAGGTTGATCAAGTCTAAAATTTTGAGTAGTTTCAAAGCTTAGCAATTCTATAGTACATATATAACTTTCATTGTAAACAGATGTGGGGGGGCCTGGACTTGATGACTTCTTGAGGTCCTTGTTAGCCCTATGTTTCTGTGGTTATCTAATGCACATTGGAAGGTTCAGTTTGAGTTATTCATATACATTGATGGATCTTACATAAGCGGAAAAGAGAGGAAAGATAGCTGGGTGTCATTGTGGGCAGTCCAGATAAAAATTTCTGGTCTATATGGTGTACTAGTCCAAAACAAAAAAACAAAAAAAGAAGAAGAATCAATCAGTCATAAGTGTATTAAGGCAGATAAATATTCAGGCTGAGGTATAATAGTGTCTGTGTTCCGTTTTCGACACGACATCTCAAAAGTAATATAACAGAAATAGAAGAGGTCAAGAGCATTGCAACCAGTGAAAACAAATAGGGGTTGTCATGAATATAAAGGGAAGGGTAAACACCTTTAAAATTCCTCCTGGCCAGAGAAAAAAAATCCTCTCACCTGTAAAAGGTTAAGAAGCTAAAGGTAACCTCACTGGCACCTGACCAAAATGACCAATGAGGAGACAAGATACTTTCAAAAGCTGGGAGGAGGGAGAGAAACAAAGGGTCTGTGTGTCGTTTCTGCCGGGCATACACCAGGAATGGAGTCTTAGAACTTTTAGTAAGTAATCTAGCTAGGTATGTGTTAGATTGTGATTTCTTTAAATGGCTGAGAAAAGAATTGTGCTGAATAGAATAACTATTTCTGTCTGTGTATCTTTTTTGTAACTTAAGGTTTTGCCTAGAGGGGTTCTCTATGTTTTGAATCTAATTACCCTGTAAGGTATCTACCATCCTGATTTTACAGAGGTGATTTCTATTTACTTCTATTTCTATTAAAAGACTTCTTGTAAGAAAACTGAATGCTTTTTCATTGTTCTCAGATCCAAGGGTTTGGGTCTGTGGTCACGTATGCAAATTGGTGAGGCTTTTTATCCAACATTTCCCTGGAAAGGGGGGGGGGGTGCAAGTGTTGGGAGGATTGTTCATTGTTCTTAAGATCCAAGGGTCTGGGTCTGTAGTCACCTAGGCAAATTGGTGAGGCTTTTTACCAAACCTTGTCCAGAAGGTGGGGTGCAAGGTTTTGGGAAGTATTTTGGGCAGAAAGACGTGTCCAAACAGCTCTTCCCCAGTAACCAGTATTTGTTTGGTGGTGGTAGCGGCCAATCCAAGGACAAAGAGTGGAATATTTTGTACCTTGGGGAAGTTTTGACCTAAGCTGGTAAAGAGAAGCTTAGGAGGTTTTTCATGCAGGTCCCCACAGCTGTACCCTAGCGTTCAGAGTGGGGAGGGAACCTTGACATGGTGGCATTGTGATGGGATTAACCTGTAATCATTTTGAGATCCAGTTGAGATTTTTTGAACTAAAAATACAGATTTTAAAAAGGAAAATTTTTTTTCCTTTGGAAGGGAAGTCCAGAAAGCAGCTGAAACTGAAAGCAGCTTGTTTTTCTCTGCTTTGTGGCCAAGCAGAGACAAAAGGGGATTATCTTTGTGAATTGCAGGTTTTCTTTGCCTGGAGGCAGGGTACTTAACTCCTGCAGGGAAATTCACAGTCTTCCAACCCAGAGTTTTTTTTTCCCCTAAAAGTAAACTGGGGGGGGGGGGGGCGGGGTGTTCTACCCATTTGCCTGGAGACAAAAGTGGCAGGGGTTTGTTTGTTTTTTTTTTGGGGGGGGGGGATTTTGATTTTTTACAAGGAGCACAAGTTTAAAAAGGAAATTTTTTTTTTCCTTTGGGCTGCTGGTAAGCAGGTTTCCAAGTAGTTGGAGGTTTTTTGCTTTGATTTGGGCCCAGAGCAGAGACAAGGGAATTATCTTTTTCTGTAGGCTGACAATCACTATCAGAGAATAGGTATTCTATTCCAGCACAGCAAAATTTTACAGCCAAGTTTTGTTTGTTTATTTCTAAACCTCGGGTGTAAAGTTAGTTAAAAACAGAGAGGTTAAAATGACGAAATCCACGGCTCGAAAAAAGCTGGAATTAGCCAGATTTCAGGCTGAGGAAAGACAAAGGGAACATGAAAGACAGATAGAACTCATGCGGCTGAAGAAGGAGGAGAAGGAACAAGAAAGGAGAGGCAGCGAAAGAGGCAGAACAACACCAAGAGGCTGCTCACAGGAGAGCTATGGAAGCAAGGGACAAAGAACTGGAGGAGAAGAAAAAAGAGAGGAAGTATGTGGAGGAGGTGGAGAAGATAAAGGCTCAGCAGAATATCCCAACAAACCCTAGCAATCCTTCTCCAAGTACCACTTCCCATCCCAGAAAGTTCCCCACCTACAAGGCAGGCGATGATACTGAGGCCTTCCTAGAAAACTTCGAAAGGGCCTGCCTTGGGTACAGCATCTCTACCGACCAATACATGGTAGAGCTGGGGCCACAGCTCAGTGGACCCTTAGCTGAGGTGGCAGCTGAAATGCCTAAAGAACACATGAACAAGTATGAACTGTTTAAATCCAAGGTGAGAGTCAGAATGTGGATAACACCCGAGCAATCTCGTCAGAGGTTCAGAGCCCTAAGGTGGAAACCAGACGTGTCATTTACCCGACATGCCTACCACATTGTGAAACACTGGGATGCCTGGATATCAGGAGCAAGTGTTGAATCTCCAGTAAATTTGCCCTTCCTAATGCAAATGGAACAATTCTTAGAGGGTGTTCCTGAGGAAATAGAAAGATACATTCTAGATGGAAAGCCCAAAACTGTAATCGAGGCAGGAGAGATTGGAGCCAGATGGGTGGAGGTGGCAGAGAAGAAGAAAACTGATCGCAGTTGGAGCGGAGACCAGCAGGGACAACCCCAGACAACACCCTATTACTAGGGGCCGCCCAAGGCCCCACCTACCTCCCAAAGAACCCTCCAGACACCTTATAGTCCCATTCTCCAGCAACCCACCTCGCCCGAGTGATCGTCAGCTGGACAATGTTTTAAATGTAGCGAGCTGGGGCATGTAAAGGCCAACTGCCCCAAGAATCCCAACAGATTACAGTTCATTGCACCGGAATCACACCGGATACCTCCCAGATACCCTTGGAGCGGAGGGAAACTGTGAGTGTGAGCGGGAAGAAGGTCACCGTGTGGAGGGACACCGGAGCACAAGTGTCAGCTATCTATGCTTCCTTTAGTGGACCCCAATTTAATCAACCCAGAGATCCAAGTGACGATTCAACCCTTCAAGTCCAACTCTTTCAATTTGCCTACAGACAAGTTGCCTGTCCAGTACAAGGGCTGGTCAGGAACGTGGACTTTTGCAGTCTATGATGATTATCCCATCCCCATGCTGTTGGGGGAAGACTTGGCCAATCATGTGAAGCAGGCCAAGAGGGTGGGAACGGTCACCTGCAGCCAGGCTAAACAAGCCGTGAGGCCTAGCTCTGTTCCGGAAACTTCTATCAGGACCCGGTCAGAGGTGATGGACCCGGACCCCAGGCCAATGTCTGCAACAGCAGTAGTGGATCCAGTCCCAGAGACCCAGACGGGAACCAGTCCCAGAACCGGAACCAGCCGAACAACCAATACCAGACCCATTGTCAGCACTGAATCCAATACTTGCAACCTCAACACCAGAGGGCCCCACTGAACCTGAACTGGCAGCAGCCCATAACCCTACACAAGAGGCTCAGCTGGAGCCTGAATCCCAACATAGTGCACCAGCGGAGAGCGGTTCACAGTCAACGGAAACAGCCCCATCCCCTACATCGCTTCCAGAGGGACCAAGCCTAGGTCCACAATCCCATGAGGAACTGATGTCTCCAGCATCAAGGGAACAGTTCCAGACCGAACAGGAAGCAGATGAAAGCCTCCAGAGAGCTTGGACGGCAGCACGGAGCAACCCACCGCCTCTTAGCTCTTCTAATCGATCCAGGTTTGTTGTAGAAAGAGGACTTTTATACAAGGAAACTCTTTCTGGTGGACACCAGGAAGACTGGCATCCTCAGAGACAGTTGGTAGTTCCAACTAAATACCGGGCCAAGCTCTTGAGCTTAGCCCATGATCACCCTAGTGGCCATGCTGGGGTGAACAGGACCAAAGACCGTTTGGGGGGGTCATTCCACTGGGAGGGAATAGGCAAGGATGTTTCTACCTATGTCCGGTCTTGTGAGGTGTGCCAAAGAGTGGGAAAACCCCAAGACCAGCTCAAAGCCCCTCTCCAGCCACTCCCCATCATTGAAGTTCCATTTCAGCGAGTAGCTGTGGATATTCTGGGTCCTTTTCCGAAAAAGACACCCAGAGGAAAGCAGTACATACTGACTTTCACGGTTTTTGCCACCCGATGGCCGGAAGCAGTAGCTCTAAGCAACACCAGGGCTAAAAGTGTGTGCCAGGCACTAGCAGACATTTTTGCCAGAGTAGGTTGGCCCTCCGACATCCTCACAGATGCAGGGACTAATTTCCTGGCAGGAACTATGGAAAACCTTTGGGAAGCTCATGGGGTAAATCACTTGGTTGCCACTCCTTACCACCATCAAACAAATGGCATGGTGGA